TCTCCTCTAAATAACCTTTGTCCCAGGATTGTATAACAGTATGAATTATTTGGCAGTGTGCAGTTTACACATATGTGTCTGTGTGGGTGCATGATGGTAAAACAACAGACAATAGTTTGATCTTTGTCACAGAGGGAGGAGGGTGTCGAGCAGTAATAGCACCATAAAATATATTTTATAGTTGAACTAGGAGGATGTTATTTTGTGCTTTCAAATCTTTTTGATCCCGCCTGACAGAACATATTTTATTCATAGAAGACGACGTGTGTTTATGTTGCGCAGGATTTATGAACATGTTTTGGTGAATACATCCTGAGAAGGAGAAAGGGACATCTGCTGCTGCTCCATGAAAACCAAAAAACAAGTAAAAACACCCAGAAAGATCCATTAATAAAAACGGTTTTCCTCATAGAACTCATTAAAAAAACAGAGGAAACTGCTGGAACAGTGATGTTGTTCCTCATGGAGTTTGACAGGTCTGCCTCAGACAGTGGAGTGTTTGGACGGGGACAGAGTGGAGGATCGGTCCGGGCACTACACCCCTCAGTGGGTAAACTCTACACACTGCAGCCATTCACTTGGCCCGGCTCACTGGATAAAGTTAGGATTGTTTGTCAGTGGGCTGTAATGCCAGGAATGCTCAGCGCTGGCTCCCTCCCCCCTCCGTTGTGTGTGCGAGTGTCTCTCACACTTTATTTTGCCACTGCAGCAGCAGTTTGGATCGGCGGTGACACCCCCCCCCCCACCCCAAGGCTCCCTCAACTCCAAAGTGAAATAACAGATTCTATTCCTCTCCTGTGAGCTATTTTGGTACTACTGGAGCAGGAGAACACACACACACACACACACACACAGTCATCCACCACCTTAAATTTCACCACGCTGCACTCTCTACCTCCCACCCCCCGAGCTGAGGGTGTCTAGTCTATTCTGCTAAGGCCTTTTCTCCCATGTTCCATCGCCACATCATGACATCACTTTTCTAAAGAAAACACACACACACACACACAGAGAGAGAGAGAGAGAGGCATCTCTGCCATTCCCTTAGCTGCATCCAAGTTCTACTGCAGTCTCTAAGGAGGCTGCTTGTGGGACATTAAATAGAGACTAATGATGTTTTATAAACTACAGTTATTATTACTGCATCCTGATGAATCTGAATACCAAATACTACTGTAAAAAAACATCTCTGCCATTCATAGATTAGATTCTATTATGAGGTATTCTCATCATATACAGAATACCTGCTTGTATCCAGAGGGCCGACACATGAAGCTACAGAAGTAGAGTGGAAGTAATTCAATAAGGGTATTTTACATTTTAACTTCGTTGTACCCCTGCGTTACAATGACGATAAAGACTATTCTATTTTATTATATTCATTATAATTTTCCTAGTCATTGATGAAAATAAAAATCCCATAAACAGAAAATTCCATTAGCACATTTATATAAAGACATTCCATGTGATTGACAGTTGGACCGTCCAATCATGATCGAGTTAATGGTGACCGCAGCTCGGACTCTCATCACACGTCGACTTGTATTTATGTGCTTTATCTGTCTTTTTTCTAAACACACAGATCTGCTGAGGTATATTTTCAGTCCACTCGTTCTCAAAGTGTGGGGCGCATTCCCCCCTGGGGGGCGTCTTCACCAGATGTACATGAGAATGAATAACTTTTAGTCTGACAACTACTGTTTAAAGTTTGGGTCTTTTTTATAGGGGAATAAATAGGTTTGTTGTAAAATATGTTCAAAAATTATATTTGCTGTGTATTGTATAAGTAGTGGATTATCATGAAATCTAAGATTCATCTGAGATTATTATTATCATTTAATCTGTCATGATTCAATATGTGGCTCTTCGCCTATGTACGTCACTATGGCTCTCTGAGAAAACACACGTCATTTTGTTGTTTTATAGCTGATCATTGATAATATATTCTCTATTCTTTTATTTTAATTTTTGATGTGCTCCCCACTTGGAAATGCTGACTGGAAAGCCCTGCACATGAACAAATGTACTGTGTGGACTTTTTATTGTATTTTTAAATCATCAAAACCAGTGGGAATACGTGGGTGGGCTGCACGGTCTTACTCAGAGGAAGAAAAGCAATGGTACATCCTGAACATGTATTACTTTTATTACTTTGTTGTTTCCCAAATTTTCAGTCCAATGAAAAATCCAATGTTTCAGGGTTTCCATGAATTCAGGTGAAATGATAGATTTAGTCCAGGGTTCTGCCAACTATTAATAAGCACTTAGAGCCAGATTTCAAAAGCAGCCTGGAGGATGTAAAACAATGAAAGATGATATTTTTGAGAAACAGGGTTTTGGCAGATAATGATTTAACACTGCAAGTATGAGGGGGCGCCCTGCGAAGCATTAGTCTTTTTTTTTTTTTTCCTAGGATGCAGCTCTTCCACAGTTGTTTGTGAACTTTTGTCTCATCGGGACTGTAGTGGGACCCAGTGATGAACTTGTGAACATTTCTCAGAGCTGTACCTCAGCAACACAACAACACACAGACAACAAGGCTCACATCTTCTCCAGCTGAAGCTGCACCGTCAGCTTGATCTAATCATGCAGTCAAAGCAAGACATGTGTTTCCCCTTTGCACCCATAGGATGATGTCATATCCACAGAGTCACATGTGCTCCCCGAGAAGGTCTTAATTTAAAACATCTTCATAAACTCCCCGTCAGCTCTGTACGACCTGAAGGGAGTCCTGGAAGTTTGTCTGGTATCAGGGCAGAAAAGACAGAGTGAAAGTATGCACCGAGAGGAGGCGCTGGGTGAGAAACTCCCAGTGGATAATGGGTAAGTGGGACGTTATAATGGCCCCTCTGGCAGAGTAAACCCCTTTTTTCAGTGGAGGTAATAGCACAGACACAAGGCCAGGGTGAGTTTGATTTGTGTTGTGGTAAGAAATTGTGAGATCTCTGTCATTACTGCATATCTGTCCTGTCATCACCCTCCATTCACACAGACGTGCACGCCGAACCTCAGCCCACACACACTCTCCAATTTAAAGCCCAAATTAAATGTCTCGTACCATCATCTCTGGGACGCAGCCTCTGCTTTTTTTTTCATCTGTTGATATGAGTGAATAGAAAAACTCAACTTAACTGTTAGTTTCAGCTTCTGTGTGACATTGATCTACCAGTGCTGCAGAGTAAATGTACGTTCTCCACATTGTGTTGTGTTTTTGTTCCGATGCCACACCTTGCTCAGGCTTAAATGTAGGAGCCTACGACTGTAGTGGAGATGACAAATCTACTGACCATCCAAGTGAACATCAACATTTGACATCTAAATAACGTTTAATAAAATGATGCAGATTCAAACCAGGCAGAGCCGGTGTTCACAACATGGTTAAAAAAACTGATTGTGATTGTTTTTATAGAAGGAAATTAATCAGTGGCGCTGAGGGCTGGAGTGAAGTGGGAGGACCTACGCCCAGGAGGATCTGGGTACGATACCACGTGGTGCCCCAATCCCAAGTTTGGGTTTCGTCAGGAAGGAATTCTGGCAATAAAGCAATAAAGAACTGTCGGCTATAGAAAAGGTAATGAAAGCTTGTGAACATTTACCTAAAGTTTCAGGGATCACTTAAATGCAAATGCAACCTTTTTCTTCAAAGCGTGGGCAGACCAAACTCTACATTTGAAAACCACGTAACAGACCTAAAAGTTTTCACATTCAAATGTAATACTTTTTTGCATTTTAATAAATGAATAAAAAATACAATTGGCATTAAAGAAAATTTGATCGCATTTAAAACTTGTTCTTTTTACCCAGCACTAAGCTAAACGTATTAGAAGTATTAATTCTTTAGGTCGAGCCCTTAAGGTTTTAAAGCTTCACTCCGATATTACTGCAAAAGCTGCAGTAATTCATGGACAACCATAAAGTTGACTTTTTGATGAAAGGGTTCAAACCCTGAAAGCCACAGGTGAGAGGTCAGGGGCCCAACACTAAAACCCTTTAACCCCTTTTTTTTCACAAGAGCCTGGAAAATAGATTATTCAACTCGTGTGTGTGTGTGTGTGTGTGTGTGTGTAAAAGGGTACATTACAAAAACTTAGAGGACTTCCCAGTACAAACAGTACAAAGGTTGAATTAATTACAGGCTCTGACTGTTTCCAGTCAAGTGTGTGACCACCACTGAAAGGCCCGGGGTCAACAGATTCCTCCACAGATACGTTTGTATATGATCCTCGCCACTGCCACATTTCTGATGGAAATATTTCAGATCTGGCTTTTAAAACTCAGGTTACATTTCAGTGTGGAGAAGACAGGGAGGGATGTGGCGCAGGATGTGGCAAAATTTCCACCCCGAACTATTTTTGCTCCACTTGGTCAATGTAAATATTGGCTTACAGTGAACAGCAGGGGGCTATGAAGACTCAGGGCAACGGTCGTCTTCTCAGACCCACGTCTACTTCCTTTAACAATCTTGACCATTCTTCCTTTTCCTATCAAGATTTTTGATTATGACTCAGGCAAAATGATACGGACATGGTATCAGTCAAGCAAACAGAGCGGCGTTTCCAGCGGTAACATGGGTGGGAGAACAGGCCAGGCTTTGTTAGAGAGCTTTAGTATCACAGAGGAGAGAGAAGCCATTGTGCTTTAGAAAAGCCTCCTTATGGTTCAACGTCCTCAGATTGTAATTGATCCTCAGTCCCAGTTTAACAAGTGCGGCTCACTCCAGCCGACAATATATACATTTCAATGGAAGTGGTTCCCAGAAATGAGTCGCCTTGTTGTCATCAGCTTATCGAGTATAGAACAAACAAGACCCCATTCATCCATTCATCCGACCACCAATCCTGAATGACGGGATTAAAGTCTGAGTCCTTCTGTTGAATGTATACATCTTGCCTTCCTTGGTCGCACTAATGATGAAAGTAGAGGAGCTCAGATGATACCTTAGATGTCGGAGGCAATTGATGTACAAAAAAAAAAAATGAATAACCACAACACAAAGAACTGGAGTTTTATCTGTTTTTTTAATCTCACAAAAGAAATGAACGTGTCTGTTTCGAAAAGAGAAACAGAGAAATCAAGAAAACACTGAATGCACAGCTCTTAACAAATGTTTTTACAACATTTTCATGGTTCATTTTTTTAGGCACTTGGAATCAAAACAACATTCCCTGTCTGAACATCAGATACATCTTTGGTCCAGTATGTCATAAAAAAAAATAAAGCCAGAGTATGAAAAAAAACACCAGCTTTCATGTTTTATGTCTTCAAAATGTGTGTTTTTTTTTCTGAAATACAATATATAAAGCTTTATAAAGACTTTTTTTTTGTAATACTTAAATAAGATATTGTCACCACATCTCAGAAATGACCAGCAATCTTACAGATGTTTTGCAAGAGCAGAGTGAGAAAAGTGAATGTGTCGGCTCAATCGGATGAACAGCAGTAGGAGATTGTTGTAGTTAAGTCACATTTGGCAAATGCGCATTTCCTTTTGGTGTATTTTTAGATTCCAGATTTTGAAGTTTTTCACATCAGATTCAAATCACATTAAGGCAGTTTGAATCTAATCTAATCTTATGCAGCTGCATCCAAGACTGAATATTTCGGCTGCTCCAATCAGATTTTCAAGATGTCAGATAAAAATTACGCCAAAAGGAAACACACTCGCTGCCAAGCCAGCCGTATCTTTATCAGAAAACAGTCCTATCTACCAGTCTCTTCCACTGCTGAGTTCTTATTGTGGCGTGGAGGAGTGCTGTGTCTCAGTTGTTTGGAGAGCTCAATGTTGCTGCTCCATTTTTCCTGCATCTGTTTCAGAATTCCACAAACATACAGTATGTTCGCCTCGTTTGTTGACAACGCCACCCACGTCATGACCTGTGAAGGTCTGCTGTATCTGGACACACAAATCTGATTTGATCACTTCTAATTAATAGTGTGGACACTCTGAGGAAAAGTCCGATATGTCTGGTGTCTGAACTTGGCCTAAAGGGAGATGAGGACCCGTCCACCTCAGACCTGTCGGGGACCAGTTCAGCTACAGGGCAGCCACGTCTGGTACGTGTTAGTACACTGTGTGGCCGGTGGCGGCTGCACATGTGCAATGTAGTAGTTACTGAAGTTGATGTCTTGTACGTACGGTGCTGGCTGGTAGTAACATGTAACATTCGTCACCGTGGGAATGGCGTTCTGCTCGGCCAGCACCTTCAGCGCCAGCATGGATATTAGGCTGAGTGTCTGGCGCCGCTCGTGGCCCATCAGACACACGGTGCTCTCGTTGACTACGTGGTGCAGAGTCATCAGGCACTCGTACCGTTTGTGCTCCATCCCAGCAAAATGATTCTGCAGGTAGGCCTCCAGCTTCCTCTGCTGCTCCACTATGTCAGGAAAGTCAATGAAGAAGCGTGAGCACATGTAGCGCTGCATTTGCTTCATGTCAGCCTCCGAGGAAGCTCTGAACCCCCGCACCAGCAGGTGGCAGTATTTGAGCAGACCACCCCCTCGGATTTCTTCAGGGCTGCGTGTAGCTATGACTCTCTGACAGAGATGATCCATGGCCTCCTGGAAGTCTCCGTACACACTTTCGCCAATTACAGTGGGGTGAAAGCTCTCAGACATGGGCGTCTCTGAGCAGCGGTCGAAAAACAGCAGAGAATCGAGGCAAATCTGGAAGGAGTCCACGCTGAATTCAAACTGTCGCCGCAAAGAGTCCACAAATTTAAGCTCTACATTCTTTCCTGTGTTGTTGGACAGTGAGATGAGACTCCAGCGGTCCGTGTCATTACAGACTTTCACCAGTTTCTGTACGTAGGCCTCTTTAAGAGTCAGTGCCGTGATGCGCTCCTTTGAGACCCCAGCTGGCAAGAAGTCCAGGAGACAGTCCAGCACGACGTCCTTCACCAGACGAAAGGCCTGGTCGTCTTTCAGCGATACTCCGAAGATCAGGTCAAGGTCTTTGTAGCCCAGTCCAGTGTCCTGATGGAGGACATGACTGGCAGCAGATCCATTAAGTCTGACGTCTTTAACACACACGCCTCGCTCCTGCAGCCTCGCCCGCACAACCTAAACAGGAATGAGACAGAAATACAGCATCTTGTTAGTAAATATTAGAGTATTTTCAAATACTGCTTTGTGACATTTTGAGAGAATAAACACAACCTTGCAGAAAGGTCAGCTTAAATCTGAATGATATCTTAGGAGACACACTATCCAATAATAGAAAGGTCAGTTTAAATCATCTTAAATCTGAATATCTTAGGAGACACACTATCCAATAATCTGTACATAGTCCATTACTCATGTTACAAAAATCATAAATAACCCACGGCCAGAAGAGATGAATGGAGCAGCAGCATTTAAAAAAAATGTCTTAAGGTCAAATGGCTTGACCTCAGGTCAGTTAGGACTAGCGTCTCCCCTCCCTCCTTCCCATTAAGCCTTCAGATCTTACAAAGCAGGGCGTATGGCACCAGCGCAGAAATATTTGAGGACATGAACGGGGCACACCAACGTCACCATCAGTCGGCACAAAAGGAGAGCGTGTTTGACTCCTGAGGTATGACATCAAACGTAGATTCAGTTACCTAAGGGCCTATCAGATAATGAAATGATCTACTTTTATTATGAAAACACACTCGGCTGCACGCTCACGGCCCCCGGGTGAGTTGTGTAAGAATTTTTGTCTCATTAGTTCCACAGCAAACGATGCAGGTGCTTGGATTTGAGAGAGGGCCGTGACAAGGCAAAGAAACGGCTGAGTGACTGACTGACAGACTGCGTGTGTTTGAACTACACTCCACAAACATTTCTGCTAAACAAATTACAGCGGCAGGCAGTCCAGCCAATTACACCTGCGGCACAAATGAGCTGTTACTCAGTGAGACACAATCCTAAACCTCCCAACTGACACTGACCTGTCAGATTAGAGAGAGATCTGTTAACTCTCTCTCCCATGGTGATCAGATAACAAGCCGGCTCTGCTTATACATACTGGGTCATACTAGAGACAAACAAACACTTAAAGGCCGCCCATTGCACTGAGGGAACAAAATCATGACGGCCTAACACAACACCAACTCTCCTGTCATGTAGTCATAACTGGGTTCAAATTCCAACTGGGAGCAATTAAAATGAATATTTCATTGGGTTATTGTTTGTATTTTGTTTTTGTTTTTTTTCTTCCCCGTCAGTCAGTCAGACAAATTCAGCCTCGGACCAACTTCACTTTTGCAAAGACGTGTAAGGAATAGAAAGGATAGATTTCTCTGTAAAGCGTACGATCTCTTCCTCCATAAACCTTCGATTCAAAACCTGTTAAGAGGAAAAATTGCGATAAAGCAAAACACCAGATGGCGTGTGTCAGTGGACAGGATGATTCATTAACTGGTGTCTTCACCAGCCAGGTTTCTATTGCACGATCTAGTGTTCTTACATTTCCAACGTCACCTGTTTCACTTTATATGCTATTTTTAAAGCTATGTTTACCTAAAAGGTGGCGTCACTATTTACACATTTGGATTGTTTTTTAATGCAGAGGACACGGAAAAATAAGAGGCAAATAAAACTAAGAATTATTCATCTTTTAAAAGAAATACTGTACACTGTCTGATTATTTATATTACTGCATATTGTCTAATTTTCCAGTTACTTCCTTAACCAGCAGGGGGTGTCTGTGATGGTGGCTACATTATTTCTGGTACACACTCTAGGCTTCACACTATATTAGAAATGGACATTTTATCCAAATGCTGGAGCGAATTACAAATTACACTGACTGAAAAATGCTAATAAATATAAACAGAGTTGTTTATTTGTAAGCGTTGCTAAAAGAATTCTTTATCGTAAAATTCCAATACCATTTGGTGGAAAGTAGAAAGAATCCAACAGGACACATGAGTGGACACCATGGTGACCATTGAAGTGGAGAGGGGTTATATTTTGCGTTAAGCCTGGAGGCTTCATAGTGGGATTTTGTTTAGCAGTCACTTCATATACAGGGTTTATACGTTAGCTCATAAACCAACTCCTGTCTAAACAGCTCTAATCTCACTTTAAAAAAAGAAAAAATGCAAAGAATTGTCTCTTGTTACAAATAAGCTACCAGGCAAAGGTCTAAGACGTAAAGTGGGCTAGAACAGAGGGTGCCTTTATTTTAAAGCCACATCTATCTTACCCTCCCTCCCTCTCTCTCTCTCTCTCTCCCTCTGTCTCTCTCACAGCACCACAGGATGAGGTCAGGTATACTATTTTTCCCCCAAGTCACCAGCAGAACAAAGGTCAGGCTTTCAGGCACAGCTCCTTTGATTCAGCACAAAAGACTCAAAGAATGCACCATTTTTCGTAATAAACTTTTTCACTATAGTTTGTCCTGACAGAAGATTTACTCCTGATCAGCGTTCGGCCGACCGCTAAATGAATCTTTGAGGCAGATGGTAGATTTCAGCAAAATAAAATTACATGGGGTTTCCACAAATCCAGGGGAAACATAGGAGTCCTCACATCTGGGACTCAAACCTGTATTTAAGCCTCCTGCACACTCAATGGAGCATTCATCTTTCCACAACCACAAGCATGAAGCGCTGGCCCTCACATGCTTGTTGAGCTCATCCTGAATATACCAACGTGTGAATGAGATGGAAAACGGGATTCTGTAGCGAGATGAGCCGACACTATTTTGTCGGGAGTCACATTACCACTTAAATGCACAGCCTTAAACTGCCGAGAGACAACCACCAGTGGAAGTGAAACGTGATCTAAGGCTGGAAATGTGGTGGAGACTTTAGCATGTGTCTGTTTCATACATTAAAGAGTAGACCAGGAATGTCCATGTGGAAATGAAGGCAAGAGTGAAACAACAAGAAAGACAGACAGACATTTCTGAATATATTCATATATATACAAATATATATATATGAATAGTATGTATGTACATATCATCATATACATATATACAGAACATAAATGTGTATGCCCATATATTTATGCAACAAGTCTTACATATATTTATAGTATATATACACATACATACATACACACGTAGATATGTATCCATATATTTATATATATATATAGGCATACAAATCATTCCAATCATAGTTTAATTTTTCTTATTTTATGTGTTTAAATATAGAATTCATATATTACAAAACTGACAACTTGTATTCATATACAGGTCTCACCGACTCTACTTGAGAAACTGAATCTACCAAAAGCCCCTCAGAGCTGGGACAAATGTGTTTGAGTGGGGGGTTCTTTACCTGGACGATCTGTCGTGGTTGCATGGAGAGAGTGGGGAAGTTTCCACGGCCATGGATGGGAACAGTTTCTCCGAGGATCGAGTCCAAGCGCCGCACCTGATCCCAAGACAAGACGCAGAACCTGCTGTGACTCTGATCCGACGCATCACCGCAAGACATGGCGATGAGAAACTTTCAGGTGATAAAGTGGGGGTAAAAAAAAAGTGTTGTAAATGTAGAACCAGCGCTTTCCTCGTGCCCTGTAAGTTCCTCTGTCCTGAAGGCAGATGATTAGAAATAGATCCTCCGGGAGTGAAGAGACTCCTGAGTTCACAGAGCAACAGATGGAAAAGTTTCTAGAAAAATCAGCTGCTTCCTCTGGTGTGTGTGTCGCACTAATTCGGTCAGTCTGCAAACAGCACATTCATAAGGAAGGTCCGCAGGGTTTAAAGCCGCCTCATTAGCATAAGGGCTGTGATTGGCTGCTGTGTTTGGTCATTGACTATGGACGTCTGCCGTAACACCCTTCCCAAATGACGCACTTGGTCACAGCCTCCCCCTTCCTCCTCCCCCTTCCTCCTCCTCCTCCTCCTCCTCTGATCACTCAGGATCATCATCCTGCTGCAGCTACTGACAGGGTCTTCCCTCAGCTGCTTCACCCATAGACTGTTAATATATAAATGGACATATCCGCCTGTGCAAGAGGTTGTGGTTGAAGGAGGTTTCAAAAGTCAAAGAAAAAAACAGTAAAAGAGCTCAGAAATTACATAGTATATAATACTGAAAAATAAGATTCAAGGTTCAAGGTTTTCTTAGTAATATTTATATTTTTATTTGTATTCACCAACGTTGTTGTGCTCTGATGTAGATGTAGTTGAGCTGACTCCAAGACATAGATTAGAAATAAAAATACATTATTACATTTATACATATAAATATATACATATATTATATGAAATATTTAAAGATATTGTATATATTTACATATATATAATGTTTTTTGTTTGTTTTTTGAGAAAGTCAGAGGAGTCCATAAACCGTCTCTCTAACTCTGTATGGTAGGATCAGTGATACTCTTCGTGCCCATGGATGATTCACTCGAAAGAGATGTCGATGAGCTGCAGTGCTATGAGGAATCAGCTTGTATCAATTATATGTGATTTTATGCATTAAATGGATTTGAAAACTATCTGAAATGGAAACAGTCATTGGACAAGAAACAATGGCTGTTTATTCCTCAGCCCGAACACCAGAACACAGTCACTGAGTTTGTTCCCTCTGACAGACATGACCTGGTCCAATGACGTTACGTTACGTCGTCTGTTTGCCCAAAGGACTGTTTGCAGAGCATGCAGGATGTTTTTGCAGTTACGCCCTACAACTTCAGTCGTTCACTGTCTCTAGTCAGATGGGAGGCCAAAGAAAAAACGCCTACACATCCACTTTACCTCCATTGTATAGTGATTAAATAATTACTAAGATTTAGCAAATTGAAAACATCAAATTTCTGACGACAATTTTTGTTGCCCATATCCGAACTACGGCTCCAAACTCTTCTTCAAGAGACATTTTCCCATGGACCTTCTTGTAATAAAATGCTTTCCTCTGGTAGTCCTGGAGCTCATCCCTTCTCTCCCTTAAGTGTTTAATCTTGAACAATTTCGTTTTTAAGGGTTAAAAACCTTGATTCTTGTCAAAGCTGTTGGAGAACCCAAAAAGACATATTTGGTTGTTAGAAAAAAAATGTCCTATTTCTTTGGTCCTCATTTAATTTTCCATCAGTATGAACTTTATTTTGTTAGCTTTCTTTCAGTGTAGCTCTCTAGAGTTGAATGATTTCTCCCTAATAGTTTTTATCGGTAAGTAAAATAAACCAGTTAACTTCCCATGACTGCCTTTTGTCTATTTAATATTGAATTAAGGAGCCATCCTCCTCCTCACATTTATGGCTTGCAGCCTATTATCAAACTTCAAGTTTTGATTCTGCCAGGGGGGGGGCGGGGGGACGTAGGCGCAGCTAATCTAGACTACACTGTAAAACGGGCTGGACCATATAAATTCACACAAACCTCTCACTGTGGTTTACAATCTGCACTGATAAGAAGTTGTCAGTCACAGTATCCAATAAAAAACTGACTTCATGGAAATCCATCAATAGAATCCAGAAGCTGGCCGAGTGTTCAAAGAGGTAGCACGCTAATAACGCGGTCATTTGTTGCTATCTAATCACTCGGTTCTTATCAGAGTTAATAGACGGCAGTGTTGTGAGTGCAGCACTGTTACCTTTAAATGTTTGTTTATCGAGCCATTGGAAACAGTCGGGCCTTCGAGCCATAGGAACAAACTGTTAAAAACAGCCATGATCCCGCTGTGATTTATGAGGAGGATCTGTCGCCTCTGACGTCTTTTTTCGCTCCACACTCCTCCATTTACGTTCATTCAAGTACCTGACTCCGTCATCTTTCTGCACTTGTGTTGGCTGTTTTCTTTCGTACAGTTTGTCCAAATATGTTTGTGGACGTTTATATAGTGTAAGTAGAGTGAATTTATGGCAGGTTAGATAAAGTCTGTGTGCATGTGGGTGCTAATGGACAATAAAGTAGGAATATTAACCGGGTCGATGAAGGCTCGTAGTTTTTCTCTTTACAGAACAATTACAGAGGAAAAGTCACAATGAACTGATGTCAAAAGGTGTTGATTTTTAAAAAAATAACTTGGTTTGACACGTTTTATTTGTATATATTTAGAGTATAATAACATTATAGGTTTCACACATTTAGATAAAACCCAGTTTAAATTGTTGACTTTTTACCAAATTTTGATTTTCTCCTTAAACTAAAGAAACATTTGAAATAAACTCGAACCTTAGACAAGCCAAAGGAGGAGATAAGAAAAGACAGAAATAAGAAATTCTCAGATGGAAACAAAGTTTGCTTCTAAAGAGGATGTATAGAGAAATATTGTTGTTATTTTAAACATAAACAAGTTTTTTTTTAAATTTGTCTTAAAAACCTTTCTCACTTTCTCTTGTAGTTTGCTAGACAGAACATGCATAAACATCCAAGGAATGTTTTCAAAAATTCAAAAACAATAAACAAAGGTTTTGTCCCAGGTGCAAAACATTTGGTTTGCATGTTTAGCAGTACAAGTACAAGCAAAAAAAAAAAAAAAGGATAAACAGAACAAGAGGTGATTTGGTTTTAGTTCTGTGCTGTCAACGTTACCTTACAGAGTTTTTTCTTTCAACAAGTTTGTTTAACCTTTGTAATCATGGATTCTTCCTCTTCAGAAGAAGGAATTTATCACAATAGCCCAACAATAGGCGAGTCCAGGCAAGTCTGTGTTATTGTTGTACTACAGTGTCAGTGCCACAATGTGGTTCAAAATGAAAACAAAGAGACAGAAAAAGTAACATTTATGCCGGTATCGTCCTTTTAGCCTACGTTAAACTCTACAACGTTCACAGCAGCATCAAAGAACAGTTGTTCAGGTCGCTTTCATGATTCTGCCTGTAAACTATACATCTAAAAGTTGTAGGTGAGTTGTAATATCGTGTGTGAAATGAACCAGATAGGTCACCTATAAAACCTTCACCTGTTTGTGCCATTTCACATGGCATTTGAGGGCACCTGTAAATGTTTACAAGAGATTAAAGTTCATTTTGTGATCGACCTGACGTGATCGACCTGACGTGAGCTTTTACTGATGCAGCCATAAAACAATGACAGATGAAAACACAGGCTTTTACGCATTCAGCCGCTCTCACCACACACTAATGAACGAGTCTGCGTGTGTGTGCGTGTGTAATTCACTGATGGGTGACAGCACCTCAGAGAGGTCAGCTCGTGGGCGTTCTGGCGATTTAGTCTCAACATAAAATCATTCAAATCCCTGTGATGTCAACATATCCCTGTTTCCCGGGGCAACAGCATCATCGGTTGTGGGGCAGCCGGGCAGCGGCGTCTCCAGCTGAAGGTACAGCAGTGGCTGATGTGAAACACCTGCGTCAGCAGACTATAAATAACCCCCAGTGTGGCAGCTGTGCATTCTGGGAGAGGAGAAAGCTTTTTCCTGAATGTGAGACAAGACAACAACGACCAATGACAGCAGATAAATGTCAGGCCTCATGACATTCTCAGGTTCCCTAACACACACACACACACACACAAACACGCGTGTGCGCTCCTCCCCAAGGCAGAGAGAGTCAGTCACACATAAACAAAAGCAAACAAATAGTATATAAAAATATACAGGATCCAAAAAACAGTGTTCCTCTTGCTCTCAAATGAATTGAATTGAAACCTATGGGATGTTATCGTCAATGCAGAAGAGAAGTTAGGGAAAAAATACGGAATCTATAGTGAATAAATACATCAGATGTGTGGGGAAAAATAAAAATAAAAAAGTTAGCAAAAGGTAGAAAAAATGACTTAAATAATTACTTTAAGATTGTAGTCTGTATCTATTAATACATTTGCCCTGGCAATGATTTTGGATGTCCTCAAAATATTTGAAACAAATGTCTCTCATCATCTCTTTTACAGGACATTAAAAATATTAAAAGTCTCCTGGAGATGAGAAATAATACATTTTGTAAATAATAATTTAAAAAAAACATATTGAGCCAGATAAAAACCTGTTCGAATGACATGAATTTCCTCTTGAACTAATTGTGGACCTGATTTACAACATTTTTAGTTAAGTCTCTGTTTATCCCCTGAGTTGACATCCTGTTGAAGCCGAGAAGCTGAGACTGTGATTCTTGTAGGTGTGGTTAGGTAGTCACGTAAACACACCTTGAACAAATTATACCGTCTAATACAGGTGGACTATCCAGTTCTAACTTTGGACATACATAATGAAAGAATCTGGATCTTTTTTAATACACACTGTGATTTTAAGTGTGAGAACTTTACGTAATGTAATTAATAGTTTTCTTAAATCCTCCCAGTCTTTGTTTCTTTGACAGAGGAAAAATCGTAACGGCGCTGGGACTGACAAAAGCAGGAACGTGTAATTGGACGTTGCGGTGTGTTGCAAATGCGAGCCTGAAAATCAATGTTGCCAGACAACAACGCGTGAAATGTCACCAGGATGAATTATGTGAAGACAGATAACACTGCCTTTGTTACACAGTCTGAGCTGTGACGCCGTGTTTGTCTCCGTGACATGGCTCCGTCACTCAAAGTGAATAGTTTTCACAAAAACACTTCCTTCATGTCTGCTCTTTCAGACATGTAACACCACCACGGCCAAGTGTCGGCTATTATTAGCAGGTACATCATGTGAAATTTGGATAGTGTTGCCATGGCTAAAAGAGTGATGCAGCTGCTGCTATCACATTTCATGTATGACATTACACTGCTTTAATGTTGCATTATAATTGGCTGCGACCCCCGATTAATTAAACTGGTTTCTAGCTTTGTTACCTTTCAGACTGAGTGTGTTTGCAGCATCTGATGACATGACTGTTTCAGCAGGTTGACCTGACTGGTCAAGCTGGACTGGACACTGCAGAGCTTCGCCTGTGATAAGAACAAGCCTGTGATAAGAGAGGTAGGTTTTTCTTTTTTTTTTTCTGGG